TCCCAAACGACTACAACTTCCACTACTGGCTGTATAGTACAGTGGTTCCTAAACTTTTTTTCTAGGGGCCCATATTTTAAAAGTCACAAATCTTCGAGACCCAAGTCAATAGACATTATTCATAAATCACAAAATAAAGGTGGATTTGACCATGATTGAACATTAATGAGGATATTTTATTGTTGACTGAGTGATCATGTCTGTCTGAACAATTAGTGTTACTCAAGTTTTAAACAATGAAAAACAGTAATTGAACCAGCAATAAAAGGAATCCATAAGTCACCTATTTGGACATAAATGTAGCCCATTTCTTTTTCTTTTCAACATGCAATTGAACCAACAATATAGGAAGAAAATAGTTTAAAAAAAATATGAAAAGTTTAGAAATTATACAAACCATGTCAACATTTCTAATGAGATAAGTGGGCTTGTCTGCGTTTTTGTAGTTCCAGTCCAGGATGCAGGATGCAACACGCATAACAGGTGCATATCAGGTGACCCAAAAAATCTTTTGTGACGCACCTGAGGGTCATGACCCAGTCTTTGGGAAACAGTGGCATAGTAGGTAGTGAAATTGTCCTTTCTCTGGCACAGTTTATGTATCAAACTACTTGAAAAAATTGCACTGGACAGGTGTTCTATACTACATTTGTATATTCAAGCACCAAACCTTATAGTATGTGAAAAAGAAAAAAAAAATCTTTCCATCAATTTCTGCTGATGTTTTGATCACAGAATACAGTGTTACTGTGAATGTGGAAATGTGCTTAATATAATTTGGACTTGAGTTAATGCTACAGGTCTCAATAAAGGCATTCAAAAGCCCTATGTAAAGGTTTAAGTCCAGAGGGATTTTCACCCCCCTGTGACATAATACATGCATGGTGTTACATTACATTGAGTGGCAGACTACAGCACACTGCTGCTCATACACAGTCACTCAAGTGATTAACAGCAGATCTGTGCATTACGTAAAAATAGAGCCTAAACTGTGCACACTGCTATTTGACAATAGACTGAAATATGAAACAGTCAATAAGGCTTTGTAATGATCTCCCTATGTATCATATCAGTTATTTCAAAGCCTGAGTTTGGGAATATCAGTTCTGTGTTTAGCATTAGCACATACAGTTACGCTTAAAATATAACTCCTTGTTTACATATGCCATGTTTGCATTATTACAATAACTGACAGAGTAAAGGAGCTTTTGTTACACCAGCAATTTCTATGTCCTAATATAGGAGCCCATTCCACAAGTCTCAGGAAAGTCAAGGGATTGTCACCCTACTATGACATAACATACATGTGGTGCTGAAATATGTTTTTTTTTCTGTTTACATCTAATTAATCTTCACAGCAAATATGTGTAACGATTAAAAGCTCTGAGAGTGAGAGAGAAAAAAATATCGCAATTTAAGAACAATTTCAATCAGAGGTCAAATCTAAAGTAGCACCAGTGGTCTTTAGATGAAGCGTCTAATCCTTGGTGGTTACGATGTATACATAGCCCCCACTAGCTGCAGCTGTTTTCCCCTGTGTGGCACTAAGCCTTGAGGCACTGGCACTGTCCCATAACCCCAGCTCTCTACCGATCTTCCTCTAATTCTGTCTCAACGTTACCGCACCCCACGTCATCTCCAAAACCCCTTTCCACGGATGCCACGATCATCACCAATTAGCACTCGCCCTATTCACTCTATCTGTCTGAAAATCAACACCGCCATCTCCGAAAGCGGGCTAGGACATTCTCGATACAGCTCGCACCTGCCTGTGGAGATGTTTGCAGGGATTTCGTTTTGCTTGTTGCTACAATTAAATCTAGCCTCTCCGTCCTTGGCTTAGCACAGACTTGAAGCTCAGTGTGGTGTGAAAATGGATGTGCCTGACAGATATTGTGTGTAGATAGAGTTTCACGGGGAATGGCACCAGCATCAACGCTATGGCACACTAAGTTGTTCAACAGGGCCGGAACAGGGCACAGTGGGACAGGTGTGCAGACTTACTGTCTAATGTGAAACCATGGAGGTCTCTTAAGGATGAGCAAGGATTATGTAAGCAGCATTTCTGTGCAATGTTGTGGTGCATCTCCATGGTTAGTCCAATGTAAACACAAAGCACTTTCTTAAGAGATGGTGATTTATGAATTCTATAGTATCCATGGAGTTCAATGATGAGAAACAGAGACCGTTGCCATAGAATTTAACAATTTTAATCAGTATATTTAGGTCTTTTAATGGGAAGAAGTTTTTAAAATCGCATCTATAAACATGAAACTGAAACTCATCCATATTCTGCCTCACTGAACAAACTAAGGATTGCTCTTTTCTAGTTCAGCCACGAGGCATCACAAACCATTTTTTACGCCTGTCCAAAGCATTATGCCACATGCCCTCCTTGATGGCATGAAATTTCAATTTCACTTCCTAATACATATTTTTTGCATCCGCTGGTCATGTTTATGGTCACGTTTGAGAGCAATTTCAAATCCACTCTCTTTTTCAATATGAAATAAATGTGAAGATTGTTTCTTTTGTAAGAAACAAACAAGAAAATATGTTACGGGATCATTTCGGCACATAGTCACACGATGCATAAATGAAACATTGAAGAGACTTGTGTGATTGGTCATACTTCAGATCACATGTCAAATGTCAGATTGTGTCAACTGTTATTGTTATTATTATTATTTTATTTCATCAGGAAGTCTCATTGAGATTGCCTCTCATTTTCAAGGGATTCTCAAGTACAAACACAGTTAAAAACATAAAATGCATTATAAAATGCACATTTAAATAGTTGTTCAACCTGTGGTCCACAAAGCATTTTGTTAAAATAATTACAGTGGTCTAAAAGGATAACAAATACAGTGTATTTAAATTCACATATGGGACTCTTAACACTGTTTAGTTTTAGTTGGTTTATGACATTGTTCCATAAATGAGCAAAATAGAATCTAAAAGCGTCGCTCCTTGCTCTGTATACTGTGGTACTGATGTTAAAGGTGCCAAGTGTAATTTTCCGGATGGACAGTCCACCAGTACGGAGATGTTGTTGCTTCGCCTGGAATTTTTCACACTATGATATTAACTTTATCTATTTCCACGGAGATAAACAACAAGCAAATTTACAGGTCCAATTTGTGGAGAGGTGGGCCCGCTTACAGTAGAATGCATATACTGTATGTACTGCTTCATTGCAAAAAACACCTACAATTAAATAATAAGCAAGTTTAATGCCATACTTTGGTGCATTCCAGCAAAAACATATCTCAAAGGACACAACCAGGTGCTGGACTCTTACAAGAATATGTACTTACATAATACACCTTTAACGTAAAATATTAAAAATAAAAAACAAAACATCACCCAAGATATATTGCTTGATATTAAAGAATCTGTCTCTCTGTCTTTGGCGAGATTTGAACCTGCCTGTAATCCCTTGTGTACTTGTGAAAATGACTGCAGGGCTATTCAATGCTGCTGTGGCCAAACAAAAGCAACAGGTGGAACAGTCCCAGGCCAGACTATTGCGCTAAGACCTGGATGCAGGTCATGGGGGAAGAAATATCTCCCCTGCAACCTGGCCCCCTCCAACTGTTAACACATCTCTTCTCCCCCCCATCAAACTCCCACCCCTAATACATCTGTTTATTCCACACCTTCTGAAATGAGTTGCTCTCTACCATCTGTGCCCTTTATTTGTACAGGGGTCAGTGTCCACAGAGCGCAAAAGGGTTTTGCACGTTTGAAAAAGGAAAGTGGAGGGAGCTGACATATCATGGAGAGAATTGTCGCCCCTAGTTCATTGCAAGAGTTTGCTTTGAGTCGGCGTGTCAGGAGAGAGCCGAGGCAAGATCTGGATGAAGTGTGTCCGAATTTGCATTAAAGAAAGATTCAAGCAGGATAATGTTGGAAAATGTGGAGATTTGAGCATTTGAAGATGGAAAATATTGAAGAAGATGGAAGAATTGGTTTTCTTTTGTAATTTCTTAGTCTAGTGAAGTGGTTTTCAAGTGACGCGGGGCAGCTGGGTTTGTCTTCTGTGCTGTGTGGAGCTGACTGCGATTGGATTTTGGGAGTTTTCTTTGGGAACAGTGAAGGATGGAGGCTTTGGACAGTGATTCGGAGGACTCGTGTGGATGGAATGATTCCTCTCAAGAGCTGTCATCAGATGAAGAGGAAGCTGGAGTCAAATATAATAAAGAGTAATGTCATTCATTTTGTAGAGTGTGAAAGTGAGACGTCTTCAAGTGTGCCAGTGTAATTGAAGCAGTGTGTGAGGACAAGTGAAGAAACCTGTTGGATTTTGAATGAAATGGGTGTTCAGTCATTTTCAAATGAAGCATTTTCTAATTTAAATAAGATAATAAGAGTCTTATTAAGCTTTTATGGAGACTGGAATTCTGTTGACACACATGGAATGTACAGTTAGCCCAATGTTAAACCAATGGAGATTTTAGGATTCTAATACTAGACTCAGCGTACATTCAAAAGTATTTTAAGTATTTTGACAGTGTAATTAATTTATTTACTGGTAGTGACCTAGTAGCTTACCAGGTCGTTCCATAGCTTTTTAGTTTTATTTTTGATATGCATTACTCTCTGTCCATGTTCTGAACGTGGGCAGAAGATGTGGCTGCATTATCAGTGCACTACAATTATTTCAAACATCAAAAATATTGTCATTAATAAATTGTTGTTTTTTATTCCTTAAAAAGCACTCATGAATTGGAGGATCAGATTTTTAACAAACCTTCCAAATACAGTTGCAGCAGAAAATGTATTTTGTGTGATCACTCCCTTAGTAAAATTGGAATAAAAAGAGAATATTTTGTTTCCATTTTTATAAACTGATATGGGTGTCTATGATTTGCCTAAATAAGTTAAAAAAAGAAACATAGGACAGTGATGCTTCCACATAATGCCTTTATATTTGCCACTTATGTAATCAGAAACAGAAGCATGCAGTAATGCATATGTTGTGTGTTGTGTGTTCACAGAGAGGACCTGAGGACGGCCAACGTGATCGCGGCAGAAGCAGTCACATGTCTCGTCATTGACCTGGAGTAAGTCAAACCATTCATTCTCTTTGATCTGTTCTAATAACAGCATTAGTCATGATAAATGTGCAATAAGAACACTGAGCTGCACAAAGCACCACAGAGAAATCATTTGGATATTACAGTCAGCTCTGCTTTATTGGATATTTGCAAAGAAGTAAAGGTCATTTTGAATGCTAAGCAAACGTAAAGGACAATATTTTCAGACTGAAAATCTCCAAATGAATGGGGCAGATCTGTATGAGTGATCTAGGCACCAAACCACAAAATTAAGTGATAATGAAAGAATGTTTACCACATGTTTTTTTTGTCAATATCAAGACGTTAATAGAGATTTATCAATAGAGACTGAACAATTTTGTGTCTAATGAATCTCCTTGCTTGAACTGCATACCATGTTTTAGTCTGCTTTGACTGCTATTTAACTATTTAAACTTTTACTTCTAGGGGACATATTATGTAAAACTAATTATAACTGGCATCCCTACATCATTAGCTTACTCAAATCCCTATCCCTGGCCACTGTTATGTACTTGCATTAAAAAAAACTCTGTAGGATTAATTAATACCATGTAGCCATTTTTCTAATTAAAAACACAAACCTTAAAATGTGCCGCTTGTGACACTGAAATGTCTCTATAATGATGCGGGCCTCCCAGTTTTGCAGTTTTGAACAATAAGTCAATAGAACCACTTTTGTTAAGCCCTTTTAGGTCAATATTGTGGATTTCAGTGAACAAATTGTAAAATAAATAGCTGAAAAAACACAATATATCTTCTTTAAGGTGCTAAGCCAGCAAAATAAGAAAGTAACTTTATTGTTGGTGTGATTAATGTTAAACCTAATTATTATTTAGCATCACAATAACACCCACTGCTTACAATAACCGTAGATAATCCCTGCCAAACTGGGCCAAAAATGTAAAGGTTATATAAGGTTGATATTATGTCTGGCATATAGTAAAGCTTAAAGTTCATCTCTCAAACAAGTGCTGGTTGTGAGAACAGGGAGGTTCACGCAGGTCTAGATCATATCAGGTTACCCAGACCTCCGTGTGGCCCTTGGGACTCCTGCCCGGCACAAATGGGACGCCCTCCAAGCTGCCAGAAACAGAGGGGCGAGAGAGAGAGTGAATGAGTCATCCCACACATGTGATTACTGCTGTCCGTCAGGGAGCGCCTAATGTTATCTCTGCCCACACAGTTAAAGCACTGCATGGGCTTTTGTTCACTTGGGTTAAAACTCAGGATGTGGCTGCACTTGTGTCTGTGCCTCTGGCTGTGGGTATTTCTGCAGTTTATTAAAGTACATGATGCAGATAGAAAGCAAAAAGCAGAAAAGGGATTATAAAAAATATTGTTATTGATAAGCAATAAACATGCAGAAGTGTTTGACATCAGCCTGCTCAAACCTGGATCAGGCATTGAAAACATAACAATTAAACTGACTTATATGATGCAAATGGTCACACGTGATCTCATTAAGTGTCTTGCCCAAGGACAGAGTGACAGCATGTGGGTCAGTGGACAATGCTCTACCAACTGAGCTACTGTTTCCCTCGAACTGAGCCTAATTTCAGTTATGTCTCTGGACCATTGGGGATTGGGCTTAATGTGCAGTTTAACAGACTAAAGAGCACAGCTAAAAGGTAAAGAATAGATAATAACAAGAACAAGTTGGAGAATGCCCTGTGGGGAGTCTCCGAAGAGCAGAAAATGAGCAGTAGACTCAAACATTACAGTCTCAGTGGGAGCAAGCCCCAGCTGGGCCCATCGTCTGAGGCTTGATGAGGCTCATATCCAGCAGCCTTCATTTTCCTGCAATATTTAGTCTTCTGCACAGATCATTATAGTTTTAGGAACATATCAAGAAAGTGGCAAGTTAAGTCTCATCAAAGCCCAGTAAATGATGCATTTGTCTCATGATTGTGATACTTCTGTAAGTAGCATTTTCATCTGATTCTTAAGTACACACTTTATAATAATACTAAATAGATGCAACAAGTTTAGGCACTGAAAATGTGAAGACACTTGGTTTCGTAATAAAATGTCTAGAGATTTACGAGGAGTTGCTCTTTCTAACAAGCCAAAAGCATTTAACTGTCAAAGTGGTTAAGATGGTACTAAATAAACCATCATTCTTACATTACAATAGCTACTGACAGCACTGTGTAGATCTATCATGAAACAGTGACACTGAACTTGAGAATCGGTAGGTCTAATCACACCAGTGGCTTCTCAGCAGGACTTCTGTTTTATAATTCATTCATTCAAACATTTATGCAGTTTCTACTTTTGTCACAGAATTCCCTCTCATCCCTTTCACACATCTTTGGGACTGCGCTGTCATAAAATGTATTTGCTATATCTAAAGCAGTTTCCCAAACTGTGGTGGGGGCTGCCTCTGGGGGTACCTGCAGTTTAAGTATTTTTGTAAATGAATTATCTTTTTTGTTTTTGTCTTCCTTTTTATTCATATTTATATAGAGCTACCTTATCCATGGTTTAGCCATAATTTAGGCTACATATAACCTGGTGGTACTTGGAAAGCCAAATATTATATTGTGAAAAGTTTAAAGGTCCTATATTAAGCAAAATGGACTCTTGTGAACTTTAACTCATGTTAGAATGCTGTTATCTCATTAAAAACATAGCTCCAGTTGTGTTTTGTTTCATTCACACGAGTTTGAGTAACCCTTTATTATTATTTGTTTTACATTTTCAAAACTCAAAAACACAACTCTAGGTACGTTTTTGATGAAGAAACAACTTTATAACACAGATCAGAAAAAAGAATATGGTCTTTTTAAGAAACACTGATGTAAAGTATATTGAATATTGAGCATCTGAAGGCTGTGTCAGATATTATAAAACAAAGAGGAATACATGTTTTTGTAGTCTAAATGTTTTATGTTTTTTTTCTTTCAGATCCTTCAACAAACTGATCGGAGGGTTTGACGATAATTCTAGTAAGGGCCATGAGGACGCTGATGCTAAAGCCAAGTAAGAACGCACTTTATTACTTCCCACTTACCAAAGCACATCCATAGTGTTGACACACCATACAATATTTACAAACAGAGAGGTAGTTGTGGATTTAAAAACAATATTTTCTCCAGAAAAATCTCAAAATGTCATCAAAATAGCAATATGTTAAAGGTGCATTGTGCAACTTTTAAGGTGGAGGGTCCATCACTGGCTTTTCTCCATGGTGATGTTATTGCTTTGTATGAGATGTCTCACAGTATGGCATTAAACCTTTCTGTCTTCATGGAGACCAAAACATGCCAAGTTACAGGTCAGATCTATGGAGAGAACCCTGCTGGCAGCCTGTTTTTCTAGGTATCTAGGTATCTAGCTGTTTAATGCCATACAGGTGACGGACCCCCAACCAAAAAGTTACATAGTGCACCTTTAAATTTTATTGTGTGCATAAAAATTGCAAATCATTACCTTTGCCGTGGATCACATTCAGTTACACATCGCAGATAACAATGCACTATACTGCTGGGAGAGATGCGCCTTCAGCCATATTGGAAAAGCTAAAATAGTAAAAATATACAATAGCGTTGCAGTTTCCATTGTTCGAGACCACTGTGATGAAAACTGAACAGGTATTGCTCATTATCACTGTCAGTCTTCAATGGTCCATTGCTCGCTCTGAAAATATGCTATGTTATGCACCTATTACCCCTGAAAATAATAGCAACACCGTGGAAATAAAAAAATGCAGATTTGTCAAACTTGAAGCACAAAAAACGGCCAGTTTCATAATTGTAAAATATCTGCTGCAGAGATTTTGGGCTCAGGTGGCAAGGCAGCCGAGGCCATGGCCCCTGTCTTTCTGGACCAGTTAACTTCAAGTATTATTTACTGTTACTATGGAAACAAAAAGATAGAAAAAAAAAAGCTCAGATGCCTTTGGTTGGTTGGGCGAATGTGAAAGTCCATGCCATTTTTATGTTTTGGCTTAGTGTGTCTGTAAAATAGTTTCCTGGGTATGCTGCTAGCCAAGGTGAGATGAAACCCAAGCTTAACTAAATACAAGGCACAAGCAAGGACAGTTTATCACAGCAAAGCACTGAGATAAAGTGAGAAGGTGAAAAGAGAGTGAACTCGACTGGAATACAGGAGTCAGTCATGGTTTGCATTTTGACAGCCAAGGAGCAAAACAGGGGTATAATAAAGCTATTTTAATGTGGCACTTCGACTGTATACGATATGACATACAAAATATGCATTGATACATTGTAGTGACGTCACTCTGGGGGTGTTCTACATGTATGTACACCTATGATGCAATGTTCAGCAGTTAAAAATGGAGGCACAGTGCACACTAAAGCCAAAACAGATTTAAGATTTATTTAAACACATTAAGACACATTTTCAGGAGTTTGATTAATACGAGTGATCACGGTCCTGTTCAGGACTTTGATTTTCAACAGAAAAGGTGAGTGACTAACAGAATAACTGTTAATGTTAGCTAGTGATTGCAGGCTTTATGTTGTGTGTGAGAGATTTGTCCAACAGGAAAAATCATCTCTCCTGTTACAATTTCAGCTCAATCAGATTGTGTTAAAACAAAGTTCAAATTAAAGGCTAATAGAGCTTCTGACAAAGTAGTGCTTTCACTCAGACAGACAGTGGCCCCCTCTTTTCTGCCTCACTCGAGGAAAAACAAAAACTAAAAGACAACACTACCCACGCTAGTCCATCTTTCCCACAATCAGGAAATAATTTAGCTCCATAAAGAGCTTCTTTATAGAAGAAGCTTTCAGAAGCATCACAACGCCAGGGGATGTTGATGACATCAGTTGCAAAGTATTAATGGTCCAAGATTTGCTGTGGTCAAATCAGATAACTAGAATCCCTAGAAGTTTGTTGACCTGGTTTATGGTTAATATATCTTTAATAATGAATGGGTCTATCTGCATGAAACTAAAAGTTCAACCTCTTTGTTGTCATCTTAAATAAACAAAAGTGATTTTTTTTTTTTTTTGCTTCAGAACCTGGTGCCAGTTTTCAGTCCTAAAGATGTGACTGTTGCCAGTTGAAAGGATTAATATAACAAGTGGAGTTAATTCCTGACAAATAATGATAAGGTTCAACATTTGTGAAGTATGGTTATTGCTTCCAAAACCAGTAAATCTACCATATACTGTAGTTATACAGGCCCTGGCTTCATCAAATTCATTGCCTAGGGTTGTATTTAATGTGCAAATTAAAGGTGCACTATGTAATTTTCTAGTGGGGGTCTGCTACAATGAGATGTTATTACTTTGCCTGGAATGTTCCTCACTATGGCATTAAATGTGAGCATGTTGTATTTAATCAGTTATTGCAAATCGCATTATTGTTTTGTCTAGAATGTTCCACAGTGTAGATTAAACCTATTTATCACAAGGGAGCCAAACAGGTCACAGCACCACACTCACACATTACAATTCAGATCTGTGGAAAGTCGCCCTTATTCTCAGAAGGAATTATAATATTTTTTGAGCAATAGAAACTCAAACTTTAATGAATAAATGCTAGATAGAAATGTTTAAAGTCATACCATGGAACATTCAAGGAAAAGAATGACTCCATGGAGACAAGTGGGAGACAGACCCTCTACCAGAAAAGTTGCACAGTGCAACTTTAATGTCTATACAAATTAAAAGTAATGCAGTCAGATAAAACCACTTCATACTCCTATCAAACAATATGATGCCTTCAACTATGGGCAATAAAAATAGAGAGAGTGAAAAATTGAGAAAATACACAGGGCATATTAGTGATGCTACTTTTTACATAGAATGTGAGAAAAATACAAAACCAGGAGGAGAACAGCTAAAGGTGCCTGTCATGGTTTTATGTTGCATCATACGGGATCAGAACATTGGAGCAGAAGCAGAGGAATGGGAGAGACGAGGTGTAATGGCTGGACCCAGTGGTATATCCTGGCACTGGGTCCTGGCTCTGTGCCCGATGGACTGACTGGCACTCCAACTGCCAGCTGCCAACTGACGTCTTCAGAGAGCTGCTGTTCTGTTCCTTCAAAACCACATCTAAAATCTATTTAATGCCTCTTTGGCCACTTTACACGGTGTATTTTACCTATTTCCCATCGGACTTTGGACTACAGACATCGTGACTTGGCCTGCTCGCCCAAATTTGTCACATCAAAGACATTTCCACCCTGATTAGGCAAGATGCATCTGCTGCTCTGCATTTTTAGTACCACCACAACTGTGCAGGCCTTGATGGGAAAAAAAAACTTTGTCAAAACACCATAAACATAATCTTTAAATCAGACCTATTATGCAAAATCAAATTTTCAAAGCTTTCAGTCATGTTATGGATGTTTAACTCTCTCCATTTACTCGATCAAAGTTGTATTTGGAGTGATTCATGCATGTTTGACTAATCTTAAATCGCCATTTTGCAGCTCAACTCCCGTTTTGAACTCCACTGCTATATGCCCACACTGCTCTGTACAAAGTTTGTTCTCCAATTGTATTTTCTCTCTATCATGTGTATTGGTGATACATGAAGAATTTTTTTTTTTTTTAAAGAAAATATCTGCAGCTTGTTAGAATGACGTGCAACTATCCATAGGTAATGCCAACAACTTCTCTTTGTTATGATGATGTTTGTGGCAATGTCAGCTCCCATTACGCTCCTCATTTTTCTAACACGTACTTGTTTCATTTATTAAGTTGTTTTAGATCAATATTGCGATTTAAAATGTCCATATTATAACTAATGATCCATGGGTATCATAGATAATAACTATATGCCAGGCGCAAGCTCAATAGGTTTTCTAATATTGCAGTTCATAAATAAAATATGGAGGTCATTTGATATGTCAATGGATACTACTACACGAAAAACAGAGATCCACAAACGTCTTATTACAGCCTGAATGAAAGAAGTATTACCTCAACTTTTTTGAAATGCAGTAAAATTTCATTCCAACCTTTGCATATACCAGTTTTTGTTTCATGTGATTAGAATGAGGAACTGAGATATTAAAGGTCCAATATTATGCAAAATTGACTCTTGTGAGCTTTAAGTCCTGCTATAATGTTGTTACCTCATCAAAAACAGTATCTGGAGTTGTTGCATTCACACGTTTGAGTAACCTTTTATTGTTAGTCTGTCTACATCTCCAAAGCTCAAAATACTCCACCTGTGACATCATGAGGCGGTAGTTGTTTTTTTTTTTGTTTTTTTTGTTTTTTAACAGCTACATTTTACCTTTTGTTCACTCGATGGTCAATTCCAAGTGATTCTAGTGAAAGTGTATGGAGTTTAAAAACACAGTGGAGCGCTTCTTGTATTACCACATGACATCACAAGGTGGAATAGAGTGTTTTTGATTAGAGAGAAGAACTCAACCTAAAAATATGCAAGGTTTGGGTCTTAAACATGTGTGAATGAAGTCCAGGTACTTTATTTGTGATAAGGAAACAACATTATACCAGAGATCAGGAAACAGAGTAATATGAAGCCTTTAAACATAAACCAGCTCAACAATTTTGCAATTTGACACAAATATTAAGTGAATTTTGCTAGTTCTTGGCCATCACTTTTTAACCTCTGAAAATGTTATGACATACAGTAGTGCAGCTCAGTGCGAGGCTGATTGTGCGTTCAGAAGATTCCTTTGTTGCATGCGTGCTGGTTTTGATCAGCAGCAGAGCATCTCAACGGGGGGACACAACTTTGCACCAAATAAAAGTGGAAACTCCAGATTCACCTGTATGCATAAAACATGACTCGTGTTCTCAGTGGGGAGAGCATTCTGGCTTCTCCACAACAAAGCACTCTACCTAGATGGCATCTCCGGAAAAAAAAACATCGAAAAACAAAATAGGGCCGTATTTTTAGCACTCCCATGTTGCCTCAGATTGAGACAGCAACACAATTTGAATCAGGAGTTTGGATAATATTCAGAATATTATTGCTATATACACACACACAACATCTACATGAAAAATTACTTTAGCTTTTAAACTTATACATAATGAAAAAAAAAAAAAAACTGCCACAACCTGCCCCTCTCTCAACAGTCATCGGACACAAAAATTACACAACAAAAACAAAAAACTAGGCAGACAAATTGTGTAACTTTTCTGATGGAAGGTCACTTGCTTTTCTCCATGGAGATGTTATTACTTTGTCTGACATGTTTCACAGTATAGCATTAAAACTTTCTATCATCATGGAGTCATACTGTCATATTGTGGAACATTCAAAGCAGAGCAAAGACATACCCATAGAAACAAGCGGGTGACGGACCCCCAACCGAAGTAATAAAGTGCAGCTTTAATAAAAATCAGTCAAGTCCAGACTTGTCAAGACGTTCAAAAGAGATGTCCAAGTCTGTTCAAAAGCTAAACACTTTTGACTGCTAATTTAGGACAGCACAAAATCCTCCCAGCTCACTGTTCATGTGGCTTTTAATCTTTCTCTAAAACTACACCTCACCTTACTCAACCTTTTCTTCAAAAATGAGTAAATTCAGTTTTTTCCCAGCAATGTGTTGTAAAAGGAGAACTTCTGCCTGATACACATGGTTTTCATCTAATTAGAAAACATAATATTATTTATGATTGTTTTAGGTAGCCTGTGTGTTGTATGTTGCCATGATGAATGGAGATGAATAGTAAAGGAGACAAGTGTATTTTTGACAGATAGACAGGCAGACAGACATACACTTCCAAAATTCATCAGCATCAACAATGAAACAAATATAATAACATTTTTTCACTGCAAGTAAAAATATTGAGTCCAATTTTATTTAATATTGAAACTGAGTTTTGACATGGTAACATTAAAATGCAGTTTGGTAGTAACCAAATCTCTATTTTGAGACTCAAGATGTTACTGTCATTGTCATGGAAAACAACTAAATTGTGTTTAGAGCATAAAACACTGCATAGTTGCAATAAAAGAAATAACAGGAAAACAAAAAAAGTCTGGACAATAATTAGCCCTTTGTACACCCTTAAAATGATGTCATCTGTGCACTGTTGCACTTTATGACACCCTTGGGTGTTACCTGACCACCACAGCAATATTTCAGACCACTGTGTTATTGATAGACCATTCAGCACACAACAGTAATACGTACCATACCACTTATTATTACCAGATCTGATTACAACTCAAGTCTGTCGGTTCCAAGGTCACGGGTGGTTATTTGAGGCCCATGTACGCAGTCACTCTCTGTGGGAAAACTGACCTATATCATATTCCCATTCTCAGAAGTACTTCACATTGTAAGATGAGGCAAAATTGTTTTTGGACAAATGAAAAACAATAACTTAAATGGTTGAAATCTGTCAGCTGAACAAATGTTTTTAAAGGAGACATTTTGCAACTCATCCAAGAAGCCCTGCCTAGATGACTGAGAGATCTGGTTTTATTATTATTATTTTTTTTTTACTTTAATAAAACAAATGGAGTCAAGGCTATTACAATAATAAACTGCTGGATATTATCATGAAAAAAAAATCTATATTACGAAAAAAAATGTTAAAGTCAAAATTGAAACTGAGCTAAATTCAAATTTACACCCTAAATTCTTCAAGAACATGAAGCTTACATATAATTTCAAAACATGGACAACCTGGCGTGTGTTGAGAAAAGCAAATATGTTACTCATTTATTTCTTAATACAGTATTATTCAAGATATGTAGAATATATAATTGTAATGTCCACTTTCTATGTAGGTTGCATGTTATTCCTGAAAAGTGAATAGCTGGAATTGACTCGTGTCGTGTTCATCACAGTTGTTGCTGGTGTAAAGTGATAACTGAGCTGGCTGCGGTCTTTGTATTAATCTAAGTGCACAGAATATAATAGACAGCATCAATCTGTTAGCATGGCTCCGCACGGCACTCTCGTTGGCGCTTCAGTGTGGACATTTCAGCATACCAGAGCTCACGTTTCTCTAATGGAGACATGCCTCCCTCTGCTGGATGAACTCCAGTACTGCATACCATACCAAGTTTTATTTAGTCTGTGCAAAGAGCTGACGAATCAAACTTTTTATTGCTGTGTACCTGCTATCATCTTAGATCTAAATTTATATATATAAAGTATAACCCATATTTTAATATAGACATAGATATATAGATATAGATTTAGTTATTGATATTGGTCTATTACTGAATTAAGAACATTACACAACTCTACACATCCTTTTAAAAATTTCATATTAACTGAAAATAACAATCTTTCCATTAAAAGGAAAGGTCAAATGTGTTGTTTCTTTCCTTTTAAGGCTTTTTGTTTGTTTCTTTCTCTGAAGAGAGTAAATGTCATTGGTGTAAGAAGCTGCGGTCTGTAAATCCATGCCCTTTTGTCCCATAATCCCACATCTTGCCACACTGGTCTGTTATTGGTCACTTCCTTAAGCGGAGGGCATTTTGGGATTTGGAGTACTTTCTTGGCCTGCTTCCACATCACTAAAGATAAACGGCTCCCATGATCACGGCAGCAGAATCAATATAGACACACACAAACAGTAGTGCCCCATGGAAACCAGGTTGATTTTCTGAGAAACACTTAACCTGCCTGCCCGCACGTGTTGGAGCTGCTGTTTGACTCACTTCTTGTGGTTTCTTCGTTCATTTAGTGGAACCGACTCATTTTCACTGTGCTTCAAAGACTAGTCTATTAAGGATCATTTCACACAGATTCCTGGGCAGTGCTCTCCATATGACTCACTGTTTATCTTAACTTTAGATACAGACCCCAGCTGCTGCTTGAAGGAAGGCAGACAGTGTTTCCGTATATGGTTTTTGTTGTGGTATATTCCTCTGTCCTGGTGGGGCATGGCGGGTTGGTGTTTTGGAGTGACCCAGATAGACCCGTCCCATATCAAAGCTGTCGTAAGCCCACTGATCCGCAGCCTAACATTGGATAGGTACAATAACCAAGAAGACATGCGGTATCTGGGGATAAGGATTTGGACATTGCCAGTTCTGACGTCACTGTTGTAAATAAAGAAGCCGTTCTAAAACCTGGAAAAAACACGGGCACTCAGAAGTTTTACAGTCTTTTCTTAGTTTCAACATTATATTTTAAATACTTCCATTTACATTTTTCATCTTTGTAATTATATCATATTGTGATGTGTGAGCTACTGTGTCCAAGTAATTTCCCTTTTGGACCAATAAAGTTTATCTCAATCTAAGTCTAAAAATAAATTTTAAAGGGCCTATATTGGGCTATTTTCTGATCTCTGTTATAATATTTTGTCATCGCAAACATACCTCGAGTTGTGTTTTGTTTCCTTCACACATGTTTAACACACAAACCCTGCATATTTAGGATGAGTTATTTTCTCAAACTAAAACCACCCTGTTCCACCTTGTGAGGTCTTGTGGCAACACGGAAGCAGTCTACTGTGTTTTATACTTCATACACCTTCACTGGAAAATATCAGCCCTGGAATTCATAGTCTCTACTGAACAAAAGATAAAGGGCAACTTGAAAACTACCGCTTCGTGACATCACAAAGTGGAACAAAGTATTTTGAGCTTTGGAGATTTTGGTAGACAGACTAATAATAAAGGATTACTGAAACATGTGTGAATGAAACAACACACAACTCCAGGTATGTTTTTGAAACGATAAAATAACAAGATTATAACAAGGCTAATCTTCACAAGAATCACTTACACAAACTTTAATAAAGAAATAAACATAGATGAGCAAATTAATTTCAAAAGGTGCTGTGCTTGATTTTCACTATCTTAAAAACTTGAAAAACAGAACTAGTACCAAAGTTATTTCTCACTTATGTTGTCTATGACAGTTACACTACCAATGACTAGCATGTTAACACACGCGTCCTGATTTTTTGACTATATGCAGACAGCACACAGTGAGTTATTTTGAGCTCAAGAACTGCGTATGCAATTAAATCTGTACTGATGTAATTGTGCACAAATCCATGAGAAAAAAACAGGTAAAGAATCTTTAATTCTTGTACTTTGAATTAAAGTGTAGCCTTCCTGGTTTATCTGGGTTTAGGTAGAGTTTAGTTTTGGTTTAGGTCTGGTTTGATCCCACTTTGTTTTGACCTCATCCCATCTTTGAAATCTTTGTTTAGTTTGTAGCTGCTTTGATAACGCCCTTGTATGTGGCCCTTGTGTCTTCCTTTTATTATAGTGTGAACATTTTATATGGTACAATAACATGTTTTGGGAGCTGGAAGACGTGGATCCCCCATTAATCCAAGGTCATTGTGACTGAACACTAGACACATCCTCTTCACATCCTCAATAGATTAGGACAGGTGTAATCCTTTAAGATTTCCAAACAGATGGGCTGAAAACGGAGTCGGATATTTTCGGATGGCTGGTTGGAAGTGGATTAGTTCATCTTTCATCCGTCATATCTCAACTAATCCTGTTCCCATTTTGCCTTCTCCTCCCTCTTCTTCACCACAGGTATGAAGAGGAGAATGCCTTTTTCTCCAACCTCAACCTGGCTGACTTCAACATCATCGACACACTGGGGGTGGGAGGTTTCGGGCGCGTAGAGCTGGTAAGGACCCCTAAGGTGAAAGGTGGTACTGCAACAGCATAAAGTAACATCTTTATTAGATCTTTTGACTGGACTTGACTGTTGGTGATTTTATTTTATTATTAAAGGTGCACTATGTAACTTTTTGGTTAGGGGTCTGTCACCTGTTTGTTTCTATGGATATGGTCATCTAAGGTTATTGCTCTGCCTGGAATGTTCCACACTATGACATTAAACAGCTCTAAATTACATGTGTTAAATTATAGGTGGTTTTATAGCTCAAACATACCTAGAAAAACAGGCATTCTGACTGTGAGTGGGGTTACCTCTCCACAGATCTGACCTTTAACGTGGTCTGATTTGGTCTAGATGAAGATTTAATGTCATACTGTGAAAGATTCTAGACAAAGCAATAACATTTCATCTCCAACCTTCCATGACAGACCCTCCACCAGAAAAGTTACACAATGCATTTTTAATATTATGATACTTTTTATTTTTGAAACTGAAAAAATTAATTAAAAAGAGCATCAAACAGTGTCCGTAACGGTCTTTATGTTTGCAGGTTCAGCTGAAGAGTGATGAGAATAAGACGTTTGCCATGAAGATCCTGAAGAAGAGGCACATTGTGGACACACGGCAGCAGGAGCACATACGCTCAGAGAAGCTCATCATGCAGGAGGCTCACTCGGACTTCATTGTTAGGTACTACTCCATATGAGCTGATCCATACACAAAGGAACTGTCACACATTCACTGTTGGTAATATGAAAGAATAAATAACTTCTTTATATCATATCAGTGGCAATCTAGCCATAGAGATGTGTGACAAAAAAAAGCCCGCAATTCAAATGTGTTCAGATAAAATGGTAAAGAACTGGAGATGTGGTTCTTACAATGTGAGAAAAGGTATCCATAAACAATCACTAATAAAAGAGGGGAAAAAAGTTATATAAGTACAATTTTATAATAACTACAAATAATTAATAATGGCAATATTTAGTGAAGAATGACTCAGGCCAGTAACCACTTACATACGGGGTTAGGAGTTAGGGTATTTATCAAGTAGTTACTAAGTCTGAGTCATTCTTAAATGTCCTTTATTACACATAATTGACTCTTGATAGCCTTCAGGTATGTTTTGATGAGGTGAAAACATTCTAACATGGCTTGAGTTGTGTTTTGTTTCAGTCACACATGTTGGAGTAATCCTTTGTTATTGGTCTGTCTACATCTCCAAAGCTCAAAATGCCCTGTTCCATGTAGTGGTAGTTTTTATGTTAACGGCTACCTTCTAACTTTAGTTCAGTGGAGATTGGGGCAGGTGGAACAAGGTGTTTTCAGTTTGAGAGAAGAGCACGGCCTAAATATATCCGGTTTGTGTGTTTTACTACACATATAACACACAAACGGGGCATGAATGAAATGAGGAGAAAACAACATTATAACAGATCAGAAAAAAGCACAATGTAGGCCCTTTAATAAATGCATTCTTAGGTTAATAAACGTGTAGTCATTATACAGTGTTGTACTTACTGATTACTGGGCTCACAAATGTAGCCATAACTAGATTTGAACATCTCACAAGTAGTTCTTAGTTGTTCTTTCTCATTTCAATATAATCCTTTTGGAACAGTACATCCATCAAACGTGTCAGTGTTGAGTTAAAATCAGATTGAAGATGTAATTTGATGTAATTTGATGTAAGATGTTAGAGTACATTTACTTTGGCCAGTGCATTAAGTTGATTCATTCATTCACTATCCTCTTGCGGGCCATGAGAGTTTGAACAAGTGGGGGTAAGGTCCTGGAAAATTGCCAGATAATAGCAGTGCTAACTAGGGACTGGTACTGACAGATGACTATTCACACTCGATTCTTTCCTTATGGGCGATTTGGACAATGAGGGGGAGGCATGTGCTGAGAGAGGCCATTGAAGTGTGCGAAGACTGTGAACCACCTGTCACCTTTTTGTAACTGGGGTGTTTGTTAACTATTACTGTGTTTGCAGACTTTATAGAACATTCAAGGACAGCAAGTACCTCTATATGTTGATGGAAGCGTGTTTAGGAGGAGAACTGTGGACCATCCTTCGAGACAGGTAAACAGAAATTATATTAAAATTGAAAAATCTGCTTTTTCAAATTTCAACAATAACCCTAGTATTATTTTTATTCTAAGTATTACAACCAAAACTAAAGTTTTCATCTTATATATACTAGGGATGCAACAATACAGCTTTTTCTGATACAGATTCTGATACTATTGCTTATGTATATCTGCCAGTACTCAATATTAACCAGTGCAGACTGAAAACAGCCTTTATTTCCTTAAACCAAAAATATAAAAAGACAAAACTGATCCAAATGTTTTATGTGGCTGTTATTTATACAGAACATTTTTTTAAAAACAGAAATTGAAACATTATGAGACTTTCTTGGCCAACTACAAGCAGTAAATAGTCTTTTTACATCTACTGTATTTAGAAGTCCAACCAGGATATCGACCGAACTGATATTTGGAAGCAGTATCTGATCCAGTAATTTTTTCAGTAGCGGCGTCGTTATCCGATGCCAGTATCGGATCGGTGCATCCCTGCTGTATACAACATTATATTTTCAATAGCATCAGCTTTGACCAAGCGTGGTTGCAAAAAGAATCTGACTGTGGATCTCATGATGTATTTCTGATTGTATTTATTTATCTGATTTCCCTGTAGGGGCTCATTTGAAGAATCCACCACCAGGTTTTACACAGCATGTGTGGTGGAAGCCTTCGCCTACTTGCATTCCAAAGGCATCATCTACAGAGACCTCAAACCAGAGAACCTTATCCTGGACCACAAAGGCTACGCCAAACTGGTAAGGCGTCTGCATGGAAAAATGGGTTTAAGAGAAAAAATGAAAAGCTACAATTTATAATGTTTCTCTCTACTACTTCTGTCCTGTAGAAAAGTTTATGATTATGCTGTGAATATTCATGATCCTAACACCATTATGTAAATGTACTTAAATATATTCAGTTCTGTTCTGCTGTAGACAGTGTAGTGGTGTTTGTTTTGAGTTAAGATTTATTATAGACTATTTAAAAAATGCAAAAGAACAAATCCTGGAAGCAATGCCCATTATAAAATAATATGAAACTCAACATAAATATTCAAGCTAACTTAACCACTATTATACTGTGTCTTAGGTGGACTTTGGCTTTGCTAAGAAGATTGGATTTGGGAAGAAAACATGGACATTCTGTGGTACACCTGAGTACGTAGCACCAGAAATCATTCTCAACAAGGGCCATGACATCTCAGCTGACTACTGGTCACTAGGAATTCTCATGTATGAACTCCTCACTGGCAGGTACGTGTGGACACTGGTTATGTTCATTTAGAATAGTCTTTGTAAACAGCCTGTATTTACTGAAATGCTTTTCACCTGCAGCCCTCCATTCACTGGCACAGATCCTATGAAAACCTACAACATCATCCTTAAAGGCATTGACATGATCGTCTTTCCAAAGAAAATTACCAAAAATGCTCTCAACTTAATCAAAAAGCTATGCAAGTGAGTGCTGCCTTCAAGATTTATAAATATATGGAGTCTAAACATGAAAGTGAAATATGTTTTTGGTTGTTACAGGGATAATCCTTGTGAAAGACTAGGAAACTTGAAGAATGGTGTCAAAGACATCCAAAAGCACAAGTAAGAACTGCAATGGCTTGTGGTCTTTTTATATAATATAAAGTTTGAACAGTTATTAGACAGGGATTGCTAGGACAAATTGCATATTCACTGACTTTACACCAGAGGGTAGATTATTTATTATGATGCTGATTACAGAGAAAGATGAAAAAAATGTATTGTAGCTATTATGAATGATTGACTCCCTTATGTGGGGAAATTAGAGGTTTTGTAATTCTAAAAAGATTGTAAAAGTATACAAAGTCATTATCATAATATTGACAATACTGTAACATTTATATAACAAGAAACAAAACAAATGACAAATGTTTTCTGTATTTCAGTCCGGTTGTTTATGCCCAATTAAGTCCTGGCTTAGTTCTACTTTAAGCTTGATAAATTCATAAACCCCTCTTGATCTTTGTTACAGATTTTGCATATTGCTCATTATTAAACATATATAATACACATATATGTATATGTATAATTATTTGCATTTGTATTCACAGATGGTTTGAGGGCTTTAACTGGGAGGGTCTAAAGAAGGGGACATTGACACCTCCTATCATACCTACTGTAAGTTATTTCTCCTGTTATACTGCCATGAAAGTAAACAATTTCACATTTGATTTATGTATTTTTACTTTGTTGTCCAGGTGACATCAGCAGTCGATACGAGTAACTTCGACAGTTTCCCGGAGGACAATGAGGACCCGCCCCCTGACGATAACTCCGGGTGGGATGTAGATTTCTGAAGCACCCTCATCTTCCTTAAAAAAAACAGATATTCTTTTTACTGGCTTGGAGGAAGACATACTTGTAGCTGTGTTGTATTCAAACGGCATTCAAAAAAGACTGGATTTTTGGATCGTAGATGGCACACCGCTGGCTCACCGATATGCCTTTATTTCACTGTGGCTGAAGCTGTGGATCAAGCGTTTTTAATGGGACTGCTGTAGCACTACTTCAGTGTTGTCTTATATTTGGTTTCAAAGGCAAAGAACGTGCAGGGATACACACACACATACAACACAATGAGCTAACAATGGAGCCAGTGTAGATTTGAAAATTCTGTTTTCGGGTGACAACATTATGAATGGTTAGAAACAGAAGAGATTTTCATTTTGTTTCAGAAAGTTTGCTGGACAATTTTGGGGCCATTCCCTAACAAACGGTACAGAGGAAGAAAAACTAAACTAAGTGCTCAAGACTATGAATGTCTGATATTTATTTGAGGAGAAAGGAGTGGTACATATAGCATTTGAATTCACACTCATGGGCGTTAAGACTGACAGCTAGAACTTAGTACACTTTCTATACAGACAAATTGTAGTTTTCAGAAGCACAATACACTGTGCGTTCAGACGAGATTCTCCAAGTGCCCTGCATTGAATTTCTAAGTATACCACACACCGACCTGTGAGAATTGTCAGCTAGCATTACCATAAAGCAATTTGTCATTATGCACTTATGACCATTTACTGATAAAATATTGTGTTGCCGCTTTTTTGCATTTGTGTGGGTCACTTTCAGTTTTACTTTTATTTTCTCTAAAAAGCTTAACGTCACACTTGAATGCTTCTTGTTTTTGAATCACCCAATTGCCTCTTCCTTCTCAAACCAGAATTCCTCTTCTTCTTCTTCTTCTCCCAACCTCTATAGATCTGACTTAACTGTGAACCCTGGTTTCAGTGTCTTTGGTGCTGTTAATGACAAATTACAATAGACCGTGAGTTGACAGTACATGTTTTGTATAGTGATTATTTTGTGCTTGGTTTCTTTTGGTCTTTGTAAGATTATTCTGAACAATTTGGAGTTTTATTGTTTGTTACTTAATTCAGTGGATATTTTTTTTTACAATGTTGAGCAGTGCAAAGTGGTTTTGTCCATGTTTTGATCATACATTGATTCACTGACATCCCAACTTACCAGCCATTTTAGCTTCACATTTCATCTTAAAATTATACAATGCAAAAAAGGAATATTTACTATAGTTAATGACTTACATACATACAGAAATAACCAGAAAAGAGTTACATAATCTACACCAAATAAATTAAAACAAGACAAATTATGAATTCCAAATAATTTAAAGGTGCATTATGTAACTTTTTGGTTGGGGGTTCATTACCTGCTTGTTTCCATGGACATGTCACTGCTCTGCCTGGAATGTTCTACAGCATGACATTAAACAGCTCTGCACCTTACATTTATTCAATTACGGGTGGTTTTATAGCTCAAAAATAACTAGAAAAACAGCTGTTCTGACTGTGAGCGGGGTTGCCTCTCCACAGATCTGACCCGTAATTTGGTCTGGTTTGTTCTCCATGATGATAGAAAGTAGGTGACGGAACCTCCACCAGAAAAGATAAACAAAATGCTTTTCTCCATGGAGATGTTATTGCTTTGTGTGGAATATTTTACAGTATGGTATTAGCCCTTTCGATCTTCATGGAGACCAGACCAAATTACAGGGCAGATCTGTGGAGAGGCAACCCCACTCACAGTCAGAATGCCTCTTTTGTTCTTTTGGGTATTTTTAGCAGTAAAACCACTTGTAATTGAATAAATGTAAGGTAGAGCTGTTTAAGGTCATACTGTGGGACATTCCGGGCAGAGCGCTGGCATATCCAAGCAGGTGATGGACCGCCAACCAAAAAGTTACACAATGCACCTTTAAGTAATGTAGAAATTCCTTTTTAGCAGTGTTCTAAACTAAAATGTAACTCCATGACATTTATATTAAAAATTTCTCATCTGATCCGAACAATGTAAGTGCCTTAATTCAATGGCATCCAAAAGTCTCACCCTTCCAGTCCTCCTTCAATGCTGCATGTACACACACACACCTCAATGTGTCCTCTTAGGAAGCTGCTTTTCTCTTTTCTAATATTTCTGATAGATTTGTTTATCTAGGAGTTTTTCAAGTCACTGGACAGCATTCAAAATCTACAAGGATCATGAACTTTTATAGGAAACATGCAAAATTATTTATTCACATTGGACGTGGCTGCACTGATATGCCTTTCTCTAGATGTCAGTTAGATATGGTTGTAATGTAACAGCAAGCATAAGATCATGTCTCAAACACACTTAACATATTAGGCAGTTGAAAATGGCAGGAATGATTTGCAGCTTAAATAGTTATTCAAACGATGACAATCTAGTATCACTCATAATGGAAATACTCATGTTCAACTGTATCATTCACTTTTAAATGATCTTTTACTATTGTGTCCACTCAGCTTTATTTATGAACTGTACATTCAAATCCCGTGTCAGTCATCTGATGATATGTTATCTGGTATTTGGGTTATGTTTTTGCAGTAAATTAATTTTGCAGAGTGCCACGTGTAAACTTTTTTTTTAAATATAGAATAATAAAAATACTTTTGGGTGAGCATTGTGCATTTTGTGTGTGTATTTTTTAAAGAGTTTTCACTGGTCTTCTTGTGACTTTGTAGGAGGCATTCATAATTGTTCTGCTTAATTTTTCTTTAAGGGTATAACTAAATGAAAGACTTTATTCATAAATATTGGCTCCACGCCCCATCCAAGAAAAGCGTCTATTTAACAAAAAAACCTAGCAATTTCATCCTGTCTCCACTAGAGGGTGCTGCCGGTAAGACTGATACCCCAAACCACTTCACTGATAGAAACAAGTTGGTGTAGTGTAGAGGCGATAATCGGGCTTTGTGTCATCCTCTAAGCGGTAAATGCAGAGATGATTCACGGTGTTGTTGGCAGATTTGTTTTGGAGGACAGTGCAGGGAGATGGCTGCAGACGTAACAACAGGGTGACACTTCTACAACATCAAAGAGGATCAAAGTGCATCAAAGGGGCTCACCTTACCAACACTGACATTTAGTAAAGTGGAGATAAAAGCTACACTTCAAAAGATACGCAGCAAACATGCAAAGTGTCGCGGTGCGTCAGTCAGGTGTCTACGGCGTGGATCTGTCGCTCACACATGCACATGCACACGCACAAAAACAAATGGACGTGACCAGCAGATGCTGTTGAAACTCTGCCCGAAACTTTGGTAAATAACTTCTCTCTTACGTTTACAGTCCGACTCTATCCAGAACTGTGCGTGTAGACACTGAGCGCACATTGGAAATATCGGGAAGAAAATAAACAATAGTTAAAACTGTAGCCTGCGCGTAAGAGGACCAACAGGTCAGGCTGACACGAGGTAAAACAAATGTTCATTAGCTATTATTGTTTTACGACTACTTTGTAGTTTTAAGGCGAACTCACCACCAAAGTGCATACTGTTATCTGTGCTAATTTTATAATTGCCCGGACAATTAGTTTGTAAGATAGAGGTTCTGTCACCGCCTGTGTCTGAGACACAGGTGACTGCGGTATATTTGGTTATATTTGGGATCGTTGGTGTGGAGACAAACATACCCTGCAGAGTGGGTGCTTAAAGGGTCAGGACACATCAGAGCTTCCTTTAATCTCGAAGTGCCAGTCAACCCTGAAAGGCCTCGCCACGGAAGTCCATTAATTCGGTAAACTTTTCACACCCCTTAATGGTGCGCATATCCTACACATTCATGTCCGTCGCTGGTGTAACCAAGCACACTTTGGAGGATAATTGGCCCTTTGCAATCACAAGGATCAAATGAAGTAGTTAATCGACGCAAGTAACTTCAATCACCCTCTTCGCACCGCCAAAGGGTAGGTGCGATATTGAGTGTCTAAGATAATTGGAATAACCAACAAGCTTTCTAATAGCACCCTACCGCTATACTGTAATAACAGAGTCAACACAACAAAACGAGAAATTTGCTTTATCTTCACCTTAAGAGAACATTTTATAAGATAATTTTGTATTAATAAAATTAATAATTACCCCGTGCAGCCAAGCAAAAGCCTAAAAGCCCGATACAAAGTTTTGCCAAAATAGAAGTCTGTAACTGCTGCCAAAAACAACTCTTATTCCTCTAATTATATAAAAAGCAATATATTCTAATGCATTAAATGAAACTTAGTGTCACCAAGTATTGGCCATTGAATCAGTATTTACTGGTAATTATCATTACACAAATATTGTGAAACGGGGTCCTATGACCAGAGAATAGATGGCCATTTCCGTACAGTGGGGCTCTCTTTGAAATTCCACCCTCCGCCTTTGTTGTGCACAGCGAGGGGCGGGAAGACAAACAGGTCCACATGTATAAAGGATCATCCCAGCGCTGGTGCGTCAGGAGACCTTTGAGCATCGTCCACTAACTTCACTCTGAGGAGTTTGGATTCAGGACTCGAGACTCACTTGGACTTTGTCACTCAGCTTTTTACGCATCGGGATTGTGTTTGGTTTCACAGCTGACTTTGAGCGTGGAATCATGCAGCTGTCAGTGCGGTGCTTCGTGGCTGTGTGCCTCTCTCTTTTGGGATACCTTGGGGAAGTTTACGCAGGGACAGTTCTCACGAACTCAAACGCCATTAAGAACGTGCCCGGTACTTTCGGCGCTAAAGGAGGAGAGACTGTCAGCCCCAGTCCGCGCACCTCACCATCTCAAAGCGCTGGACACAAATTTCACCATGACAACATACAGGTAATGCTGCTTTCTCGTGCGTTAAAGTCAAGTGCGCACAAGTTGGCACACTGTTTTAACACACTGACATTTTCGCGATTGAAAAACTCACTTTTTATCTTCATTATAACAGCACCCAGGAGTGTGTTTGGAGGATGAGGACTGCAGCGCTGATGAGTTCTGTAACGACGCCCGGGGCGCCTGTCTGCCCTGTCGTAAGAGCAGGAAGCGCTGCTCACGGGACTCCATGTGCTGCGCTGGGAACCGCTGTAGCAACGGTAAGAATGCTGTAATTGTAACACTGAATTTACTACTACAGCATGACTGAATACTTTGGGTCATGACATTTTGATTATGAGCCTCTAAAGTGAAATAAACCTAGTTGATTTTGGCCCATGAAATGTTGTAATTTTAAATAGGCTAACTAATGTGTGCTGCTTTTCCAGGTGTTTGTCAGGCTAATGACATAGACAGCACTGACCCATCTATCACCCCCGGCTGGCACAAACACAATAACACTTTGGAGCATCACAGCAAAAAGCTGCCTGCTTCCAACAGCCACCTGCCCAATGCAGTTAAAGGTAATTACTCTCACATCTAATTCACATTTCATTATCCAGCAGGCCTGCTGTATGAACGCCAGTCACTAACTGTCTGTCTGCTGCCTTAGGTATGGAGGGGGACACATGCCTGCGCTCCTCAGACTGCTCCGAGGGACTGTGCTGTGCCCGACACTTCTGGTCTCGCATCTGTAAGCCTGTGCTGACAGAGGGCCAGGTGTGCACACGTCACCGAAGGAAAGGCACCCACGGCCTGGAGCTCTTCCAGCGCTGTGACTGTGGAGACGGGCTGGCCTGTAAGCCCGAGAAAGGGGAACGGGAGCATGGAGTCAGCAGGACAGCAGCAGCCCGGAATCTACACACCTGCCAAAGACGCTGAACTCTCCATAGAGCCCATACAGACTGTGAGCTCTGCTCCACACAGATCATACAGACTCTGAGCTCTGCTCCACACCACACAGCAGTCAGACACTGGTGGATAGCTTTCAGCCAGAGATGCTGACACACAGACACCCAACACCTAAGACATCCTTTCCGGCCAAGCTGCTGACAAACAGCAGCCGGAAGGGGAGACAAGAGTCCGGAGAAAGGTGATACACCCAGAGGGATGCGGAAGTGTAGGATGGACTGATCCTGTGGCACCAAACAATCCAGAGGAAAAGGAAGTTGGAGAGTGACATTAGGAACTCTTCGAAGATCAATTTATGTCGTTAGAAATGGCAGTGCTGTTTTGTTTCTCTTTTGTGGAACTTCAAGCCTCGGTTATTGCAGTAAATTACTGTGTTGTAAATATGATGGAGGTGGCACTTATTTGGAATATAGAATTTTGTCAACACCAGTATTATTTAGACATGGTGCTGCATGGTTCGTTCTCAGTATTGTAAATGTGTACACAGCATAATGTTATATACTTTGTAAATTACTATATTTTTAATTTACGTGTATAGAAAATGTGAATATATTGTTTAATTAAACAACACTCTGAACATCTACAGCATTTATTTTGTGTATTTTCTTGTTATTCGTAGAGGATTTCGTAATAGAGTATGATGTACCATTATTGAATTAGGTGGCAAATATTCAGTGCACAATGGTTGTTGGTGTCAAATACTTGTGGCATTCCACAGAAACAATCTGCTCATTTCACACATAAACAGTGACTCTTCCACAGTGTTGTGTGTAGGAGGTTTAAGTGCCGAGATATGCAGGCCACGCTCATTATAGACAATTGCCTAAGTATCTTCAGGCACACATAAGTACTTACAACAAACATACAAAGCATTACTGGTGCCTCAACATGCCACATCGTGCTCCAGCCAATCGCAGCAGAGGACACACTGGGGCCACTGTCATCAGATGAACAGAAAACCAGGAGGAGATGCCCAATCACAATGCATTGGGATAATACTTGGCTAGTGTCTATACCTGTTGCTATTGCTGGCTAGTTGCTAATTACAACATTGTGGCTTCTTGTGTAGATAGTTAGCTTGCTGCTAAAGCCTCTAATTACTTTATCTTACCCAATCTGCACACAGGTTTATTCAGTGTGGTGAAGTGTAGCAGCACTTGAGATTTTGTGATGCAACGCACAAAAGGATTTTTCACAGCACGCCACATTTCCTGACTGTTGTGCAATGCTCAGGCTCCGGTGTCGCCTCTGAATCCTCCCAAATACACCTTGATGCCTGTAATTAGAAGTGTTAAGATTAAAAGATGGAGAGGAAATTACTGTGCTTTCTGTTTGATTCTCTGTCAGATCAAACAAAGCGGGACATTTGATACAGTACATGTCCGAGTGAGATCACCTCTTCATCTGCTTAGCTGCAATAACAAGTCATTCTAAGTCACTTTGATTGAAGGCCTTTGGTGAAACATTACCACTTAAGTAGAGTTCTAGGAAACATGTAATCTGGAGTTTAGGCTCAGTAAACGCATTACAGTTTATTTTAAAAGCATTACAGAATTTACATTATATTTTATTTTTAATGCACTAGTATGTTCTATGATGAAAATTAACCAATACCACCAAGTTGATACATTTTTAAAATACTGCATTTATAAAGCATACACAATCGTATGAAACATTAAAATTGGTAAATCTTATTTCATTGATTATTACTTTATATAAATCGTGTCATTGGCAACACATGGTTTTCAGAATGTTCACTTTTTTACATAATGCTGGTAATTAAGCTAATTAGTTAATTAGAACATTTTTATTTGCATTGTAAAGCACTGTAAATAATAAACAGACTGGTTAAACTTCCAACGGAGTGAGTTTAGCTAAGGGGTCCAAAAATATGATTTGTTTTTTACTAGCTCAAATTGATGTTAGTAAAGCAATTTAGTGTCATTTTAACACTATTTGGAGTAATGGGGCGCAGCATAAGGCCCTGTGGTGTTTGTGGGGGTCTCAGTCTGTCAGTGGGGCAGCCTCACAGCCACAGGCATGCGCCACTCTGCACTCAGCACTGTCAGAGCACTGCCCTACACTGCACTGTGAGCAACAACAAGAGCCACAGCAGCCCAGACACCCAAACACATCAAATACACACAGGCTCCAGGCCTGGACATGCCCACGCACGCACACCCAGGCCCATTACACGTATTCACTGACACATGGACATATATCCACACATGTACACAGTCTCTCTCCTCAGCGCCCGGAGGGAGGAGCAGAGGTCTGGAGTAACAGCGCGCCTGCCCACACAATGGCATCCACACACACTAACTACATTTGGGGTTATCATGCCACAGGAATGAATCAGCATTAGACTTTGAGGCAATTTCAGGCCATGTTATAGTGGCAAAAACATCATATGTCAAATGATTACATGATAGTAAAACATGCTATTGTGTTGCAAAAGAAAAAGCAAAGCACATTTTATTCCCTTTAGTTTACATAAGATGACAGCACCACCTGTGGTCTGACAAGCAAGCACCGTCAATCACAATATTAACTGCTCTAAAACACATTTGGTTTGATATCTGTCTGGGAATCTCTTATCTCCCTGCAGGATCTGAGAGTTACAATAAAGCTTTTCTCATCTTTAGTACCTGGAACACCTCCTATTGTTATTCTACCACAGATGCCAAACACTCCTGACAGACTCAGCTAACAAACTCATGAGTGAAGCATCACAGATAAAAGGGCACGTGTACACAGCACTGGTGTATGTTATTGGGCAGATAAAAGAGATAGCATTCTATCCAATCAGAATCAAACTGGGCTCTTAGGTAAACTCTATTTCCTGGGGAGGTGTGGAGCTACCGGTATCTGCTGGCATCTTCACCAGAAAACAGCACAATGAACACCATTCTTCATGAAGGCGTTCTGCCTGATTGAGCAACTTAGGAAAACTCTCATGGAAATATAAAGTCATTTGACACAGACTCACTCATTTGGCTGGTGAACAAACAGGTAGATGATGTCAGAAACAAGGGCCTTCACACAGTGAGGTAATCACGTGTGCAACACTGTTAGGGTATCATGTTCCACCCCACAGGTGCTAAACTGCAAACTGTTGTTCTTGTTTCTTCAATTTAAACATTTCCTTTAGCTTAAAGTAAAAATAAATTGAAGTATTTCTCAGTTTTTCAAATGTCTACTCTTAAAGATCCTATATTACGCAAAATTTATTATTTAACCACCAGAACATTAAAATATTGTTATCTCATTAAAGATACCTGGAGTTGGGTTTTGTTTCATTCACATAATTGAATAATTGTTAGGATGTCTATATATCTAAGGTTAATAATGCTGTTTCACTTTGTGATGTCATGAAATTAACCGCTACCTTCAAAGTTTTGCTCAGTACAGAGTTCAGTGGAGCCACATGACATCAAAAGGTGGAAGAGTCTTGTCCATTTGAGAGAACAATGCAGGATTTGTGAGTGAATGACACAAAACACAGCTCCTGGTATGTTTTTGATGAAGACCCAACATTACAACATACATCAGAAAATTGCACAATATGGGCCCTTTAACTCAGTCCCTGATGTCACAACTCTTTAAAGTCTGAACAAGCCCCCTAAAGAGTCAAAGCTTGTTGTTGATGAAAAATATTAAAAATTATGTGCAGAATAAAGCTACAAATTGTCCTCACAGAGTCAAGAATGAAAAACATCTCTATCTCTCTCTATAATGATTGTAATTCACAGATTCACCTGTGTCTCTCAGGTGCCCAGACCCCCACTTGTGTTTTCACAGCTGGAGCAGACTGAGCAGAGAGAAAAACCTCCCCATTGTTTATACAAATAATGTCCCTATGTACTGTATACTGCCTGCCAGCCGCATCCAAGGCACAACAGGGAAATAAAAATGCCTAGCCTTCATTATGGCTCCTGCTGCTCCTGCTTGGAGGCTCAGGGCTGGGGCTAGGACTAGGGCCAGGGCTGGCTTCTCTCCTGGCAGCCATGTAAAGTCTGCCTCAGCCACACAACCACACTGTGCAAAGCTGCTTCACACATATAATTTACTCATTATTCATGCCATTTTTGAGAGGCATTGAAAAATATATAGGGGAGAGCAAGACTAATGTGAGAGATGAAAACATTATATAACAAGATGTAGTTTCAAGGTAGTCACAGTCAATTTGGACCGGCTGATGGACATGCCGTGGCAGTGGTAATTTCTTATTTTGAGAGATGCTTAATATTACAGCTTAGAAGTAGCTAAAGTTGCTGTATTTAAATAAAATGAATTAAATAAAAAGACTGAAGCACACAAACACCCAGACCACTTAATTTTCTATACATTTTTAATTAAAATAAACATAATTACAGACCTATAAATTCAGCACTAAAGGAGCTCTGCATCAGTTGTAAATGGTGTTTCTCTCTGAACCTTCAGTGAACAGGTCTACTTCCAATCTTGAGGAAATAAAAATGAAACATTTGTGGAGTTTTGTGACTCTGGAGGAATAAAAGTGATTATTTCTCATGTGTTAAATGGTACTAAAAGGAAAACAGTAGTTGATTAAAAAAAGGTCTTTCTTGTGAAACCTGTTATTAAAAGGTCTTATTGATTTAAAACACACAAAGAAATAAAAGAGAAAACTGTTCTTGATCAATGCGAGGGAAACTTTTTTTTTTTGCCCCAGCCTGACCATCAGCCAGAGCCATGTTTTAGATGACGGTGACATTTTTACCATGGTACAAAGTGCTCACTGTAAAACAATAGTTACACAAGCAGCAGGAAATATGTGTCTCCAAGGTCTCAATTGATTTCATAAAGCCAGGAGAGGAGTCTGTCTAGCTGGAAACAAATATTGGACTCTCTTTTCAGGAAACAAAGGTTATTTTAGCAGCAAAACAGCATAGAGTTTCAGAGATTGATAAGAAAGACAGCATGTTCAATTTCAGAACAGGAACCACCAACTGTGAAGACAAGAGACCAAGATAGAACAGTGTCTCCCTTTTTTACTGTCTTTATTTTAAAAGTCAAGCAAAGAAAAATATGTGACAAGTTAGCAAGTGCACAAGGAACATTTTCCATTGTACGGTGGGTAAAAAGTACAGATTTTGATCTACATTACCAATCAAAATTTGGACTCACCCTCTCATTAAATGTTATTTTTTATATACATGTTTTCTACTTTCTACATTTTATATACATACACAAATAAATGAAGTACATATTTGATGTATTTTGTATGAGGGTGAGTCCAAACTTTTGACTGGTATGAAATGATAATTGTAAAGATTTATTCTGTCACACACAAAGCACACCTACAAAAGTGGTATCTGAAGAGAACTTTCATAATATGGTGTATTACCCATAATTAATAAACATTACAGAGCAGGTCCTTGTGTGGAGTGGGATGAAAACTGTCTCTCTGGTAAACATTATTACTACTATAAACTACTACGATTACAATATCACTGTTTATTTGTAATTTGTGGAACATTAAATACTAGAGGAGTGGCCAGTTTTTCACTTTTATGAACTTCTTACTGCCCAACTGTCCCTAATTTTGAT